ATCACGAGACTTTTCGGGTCGTGCTCCAGGGCTGACAGCCAATGCTGACTAATTCAGTGTGACTTGGTCATGGCTTTGTTGGGGACACAATGATGGGGGGAGGACAGGAGGACTTGAGCACTAGAAATGACTACAGCAAGACAGCTCTCTTTAACAAAGCAAGTCATGACAAGAGAAATCAGTAGCGTGTTTTGACAGTCATGATGGCGGATAAAATGTTGGGGACCAGAGATGCTGTGAAACAAAGCCCACACGTGCCCATGGTTGAATTCTATTCAGAATCCCATGAGCCAACTCAAAAATATCTTCAAGACAGTCATGCCAGCTGCCAGCCAGCTACAACTGTCATGTGGCGGCGGCAGTGTGGGCGGCCCTTCTATTCCAAACCTCTTTTCTGGTCTCTGTCAGGATATGAGGGGCAGGATATGACCAACGTCCACCAGGATACAGGTTCACAGGACCTCTACCTGCCCAGGTGCGGCTTCCCTCTCACATCAGTATCAGCAGAGTGTCTCCTATCTGAAACACTTAGGGGAAGAACTTTGATATTTCAAATATGTTTCGATTTAGAAATATCTGCGTAATAAGACGAGAGGCCTCGGGAATGGGAGCGGAGACTAAACAGAAAGTCGGTGTGGTTTCCGTAGTCATTTTCTATGCTTAGATCGGAGGCCTCTTTCCCACACAATACGCTTTTCACTGTGACCTATCACATGACACTGGCTGATGAGGTTACACTCATGGGGTTATATGACAACTCAGAAAGGTTTTCTTCTTCTTCACAGTTTAGGCTTTCAGATTAGTAACACTTAATTAATTCACTTAATTAAAACAAATATGGCAGGGGCCAGAGAGATGCCAGCAGGTAAAGGTGCTGCCTGACCACCAGGATTTGACCCCTGGGACCCACATGGAGAGAACTGACTCTTGCAAGCTGCCATCCAACCTCCACACATTTGCTGTAGCACGCACCACACACACACACACACACACATCAAATAAAAACACATAATAAAAATTATCATTTTCTACTTCCTTTTAAAAATGAATTTGAAAAGGAACTTTACAGGTAATTTTAATCCAATTCCTCATTACACAGTTGAAGACACCAAGGCTGGGAAACAAGGCCAAGGGTATGACCTACGCCAGCTCTTAGAGGAATGACAGGACCCAGACCACAAAGCTCCAAGGTCCCCTGCCTGGCAGACTTCACAGAGACAGTTTTGCCTCTGCTGTTATGTCGAGCATAATTTAATCCATGAATGCAAACATGTGTTTCAGCAAATGAAACATAAAACACAGTCCGTTCTCCGTCCCCACAGGGGTCCCTGCTCTAAAATGGCATTATGGTTTGCACATAACTGAGGCACATCTGCTCACACTTTAAGTCACCTTTCAATTCCTTTTGATCCTCAACACAATGTAAATGCTATGCAAATGCTGTTATATGGCATTATTTAGGGACTAAAAATGAAAAGAAATCTACAGATGTTCAGTACAGATACATTTTTTTTCAAGTGTCTGCGGGAAATAGACAGGGTCTGTGAGAGAGAGAGAGAGAGCTCAGCCTTAGGTGTTGCCATCTTCCTTGTTTTTATGATAAGATGGGGTCTTTCACTGGGACTGGAGGCTCACCAGTTAGGCTAAGTGGGGTGGTCCTTGAACCCCAGGCTCCTCCTGTCCTCACCTCCCCAGTGCTAGGATTGCAGGCTATCAGAGCATGGCCAGTCCTCCACACGGGTCCCAGGGACCCAGCCAGGTCCCCTGGACCTGCAAGGTAAGCTGAGCTCTCTCCCCAGAACCTCCCATATTTTCGTCTGTGGTTCTTTGAATTCGTGGCTATGGGAGCTGTAGAGAGGGGGTCGACTCCTGAGTTCACTTGCATTTTGGGAAGGAGACTAGCTGAAGGTGCTCTGGAAGGCTTGTTCCATTGTCCTGTCAGCCTTCCAAAGAAATTAGTGACACGGGGACTCCTGATACCGAGTCTCTTATGAGCCAGGCGTTTTAGTGGGGTGACACCCTCAGTTGGCAACTACAAATGGAGCGGCAGACACAGGTATGAAGGAGTCAGCATTCGGGGAGGGGCTTAGCAGAGAACCTGCGCCCGGAAACAGGACGTGAGTGAAAGAGAAACTATAATTACCTTCGTGTGTGTAGTCTGAGTCTAGGAAGACTGCTTGCAGGAGCGTAGGCAGGGCAGTTTTAGGGATGAGCTGAAAAACTGTTGGGAATCTGATGGGGGTGCAAAGGGGCTGGGGAACCCTGGCTGTGCTATTTAGCTGAGAGGCTTCTGCTGCTCCAGGTTAGAAGGGCGCCAGCAGCTTGTCCCGTGCTAGTGAGCAGCCAGACGCGGTGACTATGTGGTGAAATGCGGCCCCTTGTGGTACGACTCAGAAAGGAAAAACAATCTGGCTCTGCCTTAGTGACACTAACCTACTGTAAAGGGAAGAGGTAAAGTGGCTGAGTACCACGCTCTTTAACATGGTAGAGGCCATCGGAGCCTCAGGAAGCACAATTACTGATTGGTAATTGCAGGGAGGCCTGCAGCCTGGGATAGAGACCTACGGCACAGAGAATCCGCCCTGAGCAGCTCCAGGGTCCTGAGGGGAGGTCCCTGTCACGTGGGTTGCCCCAGCACAAAGCTGCACTTGGACCTCTTCACTCTGGGGACTGCATCCCTAGGCTGGCATTGCCATTAGCCTCCTATCCTCCCAACCCAGGCAAGGTTGTGGGGTGCCATAGTTCCTCATCAACATGAGAGCCTGGGACTTCCTCCTGTAAACCCCCGCTCTGCATCCTCCTCTCTTGGGGAACAGAGTCCACCCCCGGCCTGGGGAGCCTTCCTACACATGGGGCAACATCTTAGGTTGGCACGTATCTGTGCCCTGTGGGTTCTAATGAACAATGCTCCGGCCAGCTCTCCTGGGACCACTGGAGGCAGCAGGAACCCTGGGACTGGATGCAATAGGATGTTCTCTGGCCTATGTACCTCTAAATCCCCTCTTGAAATTTGCTTATGATGCTGTCCGCTGGACTTCTCCCTCACACTTGGCTCACACAGTGAGCCCCCACAGGATCAGAGCTGTCTCAAGTCGAACTTTACCTCCAATTCGAATAATTCATTGTATTTGATTAGACAAAAAAAAAAAAAAAAAATTAACAAAGTATTTTTAACTTTGTGTGGGAGGAGAAAGATGGAATAGACACAACAGTAGAATAATCACAGGTAGGTAATTACACATGTAAATGAGTTGAGTTTAGTGACTTCCCCCTGAATTCCTATTTACACAGTTAACAGCTCGTGCTAAGCCCTATACTTGAGGGGTAGGTTCTTTCTAGTCTCATATGTCAATTCTAAACTAAGGGGAATTCAGACATAACCTGCTTTCTCAGTGGAGCTCTGCAGGTGTTGCCAGTCACTGGAAACTCCTGAACAAGCAGGTGGGATGAAGACGGCTCTTCTCGTTTAAAAACCATTGTCAACAGCCTCCACTCAGTGTCCAGGGTCTGCCACTCTGAGTTCTCAGGCGGGGTGGGGGAGCATCTCAGTCTTGAAGGACCAGTTCCTTCAGTCTAGAGTACAAAACCACTCAAGTCAGGGAAGCAAGTAATTTACTGATTGAGGAATGGACACTATAACTGAGTGACCTGGAGTTTCTAGAAGGATGCTGCAGGCCCTCCAAGCGAACAAGAACGAGACGAAGGTGTGAGACACAGCATGCCTGATGAGCAAAAGCTCAGCCAGCCAGAGGCAAATCAACACAAATCAACACGGGGCCAGATCAACAGCATGGGCCTGACAAGGGGGCTCAAACCGGAAGACCTAAGTGTCTCTTCAGGGCCACAGTATAAAGGACGAGCTCCTGAAAGCTGTCCTCGGATCTACACATACACACACATTCCTGAAAGCTGTCCTCAGATCTTCACACACACATACACACACACACACACAGACACACACACACACACACACACACACACACACACACACACACACGGTTCCCTGGGGCCCACTGGCCAGTTAGTCTTGCCAAGTTATAGGGCCCCAGGTTCGGTGAGAGACCCTTTCTCAAAAACTAAACTGGAGAAAGGTAGAAGACACCTGACACCAGCCTCTGGCCTTCACACATCTGTGAACACATACGTGCACAAGCACACACACACAAAGGTGTCGATACAAAAACTGAGTAGCCACATGTGGTTAGACGTGTAAGTTAGCCCTCCACCCACAGTCAGCAGTGACGGCAAAGTTGCTCAGGAGAATAAAAAGATGTCTGGGACAGCCACGATGTAAGACTCCACCGCTCATTGTTCACTTCTAATGAGGCCATAATCCCCATGGTTATAAGACACTTTCATTTCTTCCTTAACAAATGAGATGTTGAGAACAGTCTTTTGTGTGAGGTATTCTAAATGTTAAGTTACGGAACAAGATTGAACTAGACTGTTTGGTGCTAGGAAACCAGGTCGGAAGGAGGAGGGAAGCCCTTAATTTTTGCAGTACTTGCTGATTTCTCTAGTGTAACACCCGCTCCCTCTCTGCCCAGCTTCGAGCTGCCAGTGGTTTGCCAGCAGCTCAGGTACTGCTACCGTTCCAAACAGCTCCCGCACACCTCGGGCACCTCCACGGCCTATACTGTCTGATGCAACTGTTAAGTGAATCCACAAACCTGGAGCTCAGTCCACATCATAGTTTGGATCTGAAATGGCCTCCAAAGCCTTTTGGTCACTAGGGTCACACCCCCTCTTTACAGTTGTTGAACTCTATAGTCGTCAGAATGCTTCAGGGACAGCTGATCAGAACCAGAGTCAGTCCTGCAGGGTGAGTCCTCACCTATACCGAAAAAGGAGTCTGGGCTGAGCCCATCACAGACCAGCCTCACTGAAGATGTACATTTTAGGGCCCCAGAATTGGTAATAACACTTAAGTAACAATTTAGTGTATAAACAAACAAACAAACAAAAAATGAACATTAGAACACTTAAAATCTTTATTCTCTTATAAAAATTAATACAAATTCCTTATAAAATTTTTACATTACGAAAAAAATATCAACTTAATATATTCCATTAAAATCTTACCCAGAGATTGGGCTCTTGGGCAAGTATCCTTCCCAGCTCTTTAAGCACAAAGTAGTGCACAGCAAGGTGGAATCTCACTCACTGATGGCTCTTTATTCTACACAAAGCTGTAAATCATTCTAACAGATCAACCACTGTTCTTCCAGAGGCTTAAGCACTGATTTGCAAAGGCTACACTACAAAGGAAATGAGAAAAACTATTAAGATTTTCTCTCTACTCACTCGTAAATATCCAAAGTATTCAAAGTAACAAAGTTTTAAAAATAGAAAAGTACAACGAATACATACACACAATGAACACATATTTCCATACAATGAATACATAAGACAAGAATGAATCTAACAGAAAAAGACTCAGAAAAGCACCCCAATTTTTTGTCAAAATAAAAATTCCCAAATTCCATTTCAACATTTAAAATTCACATACGAGGAACAGTTACCTCTTTACCTTAAAATACAGACACAAAGTTTGTTAGGAACAAGGGTGGGGCATGTGGGGGTACGGAACACAGCTCAGCTGCTGTGGCTGGCAAAGGACAGCTTTGATTCAACCTCACACAGCTTCATCTGCAAGGCTTTCAGGACATCTTCCATCTACCCAATTGAAAAGAAGTAAAAGTGCAAGTATGATTAAAAACTCAGTTTACTGATTAAAATAATCCATGTCATTTTGAATGTTATGCACGACATACAGATGTTTGCTCTAACTAAACTCTAGAGGAGTGATCTCTCTTGAATAAGACACACTGATAATCTCATCAGCTTTAGTCAAAACCCATCATCTCCAGCTCCACTGCATTCACCATCCTGTCTGCCTAAAGAAACAGTATTCAGCAATGTGCTGTCTGTACCGGGCAAGCCAGTCCACTGAAGGCCACAAGACGGCTGAGCCTGACAACCTGGGTTCAGCCCTGAGACTTGATGGGGACATGGCCTCCAGGACACCAGGCATGCATGCGGTGCACATGCATGCATGCAGGCAAGCACAGGGCACCGAGACACATGAGAAAGAATTGAAACAATGGAAATACTGCTTTGCTCATTTCCTGTTTAGAATGAATGCCATTTTAGTATTGGCATGGATGTGCTCAGTGTTGTTGAAACAGCATTAGCTCACAGCTCAACTCCCTAACAGGAAGTACTAACAGCAAACAGACGACATCATGGGGTCATGTAGAAGGGTCATCTGATCACTGCAGGAAAGTGCTCAACAAAAGCATAAATTTACAGTAAAATTACCTGTTTTAGAGACTTCTCTACTTCGACTCTGCTTTCAAGATTGAAAAGCTCCTTGTCTTCTGACACAATTTGCTTTTCAGAGGACCCTAAATTGTAACTGAGGAGTAAACAATGCAGTTAGGTATGAAAAGGAGCAAACATCAAACTCAGAGCAGCCCACCGCACTCTAAGTCCATTACTCTAAGCACCAAGGAACTGAGCACAGCCGTTCTCTTCCTGAAGACCCGAGGAAGCTGTATCACGTAACCTCACCCTCCCTAAGGGCTTTGTCCAGATAGCCACACATTCTCTTTGTGTCAAATACTTCACAAATGCAATAAGCTTCCTCGGGTGGTCAGGTGGCAAAACGCTAAGCAGCTGGAGACCAAGGCCAAGCAGAGGAAACCCAGGTATTTTCACGTCTGACTTTTATTAAGTCATAATCTGTGGAACAGACTTGGTATCAAGATCTGGACAACTTTGGGGCTAGAGAGACGGTTGGTAGCTAAGAGTACTTGCTGCTCCGTAGAAACTGAGTTCAGTTCCCAGCACCCACATGATAGCTCACCCACCCTAACTCCAGTTCTGGGGGGGTCCATGACCTCCTCTGGCTTCCAAAGAACCAGGCATGCATGTGGAGCACACACATATGCAGGCAAAACACCCACAAACATAAACTAAAAAGAAAGCCTAAAAAAATCAGATCCAGACAAACTCAACATTGCCCTCCAACTTGTGTGTTCCAGCCTTCTGGGGCTATGGGGTGTTGTCATCTGAAAAAGCCTTACAATGTATTTAAGAAATAAAAAGAAGATGAAGAGGAGGAGGAAGAGAAAGGAGGGAGAGAAGCAGCAGCCCGGCCTATGAGAAAAATAAGTCTGGTGCCAACCACCACAGAAATCTCAACATAAAGAAGAATGAGATTCCTTCCCGTTTCTTTTATTCATATAGCAACTTCATGTCATTTTGTCAAAGAATTCGTCTGGGGCTGATGAGATGGCTCACAAGTTAAGAGTACTGGTTGCTCTCCCAGAGGATCTGGGTGCAATTCCCAGCACCCCCACAGCAGATCACAATGCCCAATTCCACCCCCGAGCTCTAATGCTCCCTTCTGGCCTCCACAGGCACTGTACATGTGATACACAGATGCGCAAACACATGAGATCATAAAGGGAGACTAAGTCTTCTTTTATTCCTGAAAAAGAGGATAGTAGATAAAACCACAGAAGGCAATTAATATCCTCTTTAGAAAAAAAGAACAAATGAACTAAAAAACTCATGCCATTTAAGAAATTTTGTTTTGTTTTTTGTTTTTTTCAAGACAGGATTTCTCTGTGTAGCCCTGGTTATTCTGAAACGCATTATGTAGGCCAGGCTAGCCCCGAAGAGATCCACCTACCTCTGCCTCCCGAGTGCTGGGATTAAATATGTGCACCACCATCACATGGCTCATTTAAGTAATTTTTTTAAACTGTAAATGTTACACTGGGCAAACACTTCTATAACAAACTCCTCAGCATGAAAACCCTGGCCCATAATGTAACATGTATCCTAAATTCAACTCTTTGTTTTTCGAGACAGGGATTCTCCGTGTAGCCTTGGCTGGCCTGGACTTGCTTTGTAGTCCAGGCTTGCCTCAAACTCCCAATGATCCACCTGCCTCTGCCTCCCTAAGCACTAAATTCAACTCTTGAGAAGAAAAATAACTTCAATATTGTGATCTTATAGAGCAAAATATTCTATATTTTTTCTTTTATACAGATACTATCACTTTAAATTTTTTAGCATGGCACGGTGATACATCCCTGTAATCCTATCACTGGGAAGGTTGAGGCAGGAGAATCACTGAGTTCAAGATCAGTAAGGGGCATATAGTGAGACACCAGCTGCTTCAATCTTAAGGTAAAGTGAGACTATGCGGAAGCTGGCAACTCGTCCCTGCTTCCTGATGGAGAACTGTTGGTATAATGTTCTTTTGGACTGTACACACTTTACCCTTGTTCATTCAAATACTGATTTCTCTCCCCCACTCTCTGGTTTCAATCCAGACATTGCATTGTGATACTTATTCTAAGCATCACCTGTCTCAACTTTGTGTAAACATGCCAAAATAAAGCAACCAGCCACAATGTTGAGCAAGGGAAAGGAAGCAGGAAGAGAGTGAGGAGCTAGAGGACAGGAAGGAGTGGTAGGCAGAGAGCTGGGAGAACAGAGGCAGGAGAGAGATCTTGGACCAACATGGAGTATGATATACCAACAAGTATAATGCGGGAAATCTAAATGTTAGCAAACTATGAGGGCTTGGAGGTTTAGGATGAACTAACTATTGCCCAGCATTGTGTTCTCAGTTAATTAAATAAATCAGTCTCTGTGTGGTGATTTGGTTATCCAGCTGTTTAGAATTAACAGCAGCTTTAATAAAAGATAAGCCAATAGTAAATATTAATCGTCACTTACAACAGAGAATGCAGTGTGACCAGCAGCCTTAAGCTCCGTGCCTCCACTTCCCACCACTGAGTGACTGTACCCTCACTAAGCCCAGATAAGCCATTCCTTCTCTAAAAAGAAACAAAGAAGGCTGGGTGTGACAGGTTGGAGGTAGAGGCAGAGGCAGGTGGACCTCTGAGGTCAAGGCCAGCTTGGTGTACACAGGAAGTCAAGCAAGCCAGGGCCACATAATGAGACCGTGTCTCAAAAACCTAAAACAACAACAACAACAAAGAGAGGCTTTTGTTCCAATCCTACTGGATTAAAATTTTATCTTCCATCTTATCATTGTTAAAAAGAGATCTTGCTAGGTAACTAAAGTTGGCCTCAAATCAACCTCAGCCTCTGGGCTGCTGAGGTTCCAGGAGCATAGCCACACATGCTAGAATACCCTCTCTTTCACACCCATATCCACGCTCAGTCTGTTCTCACGGATCCTGGTGAGCAGCTCATAGACTAAAGGAGCCTGTGTCTGGGACCTGGCCTTCTACTCAGTCATGGACCACCATACACACGTGCTCTGTAACATGAAGCATTGCTTGCTTAGTGCTTCTTCCGTGTGAACTGGTTTGAAGAATATAAAATTTTGACTTAAACTTGTCTGGTGTCAAAAGATGGCAAATACATAGTTAGTAACTAACACTTGGATAAAAATTACTGTTTTAAAATTTTTAAAGGAGAAAAAACTAAGAAATTAAACAAGGATGATAAAAACAGCTCAAGTAAGGAAAATATAAGTATGTTCTTTTCTTCTTAAATTACACTAGGGTCATATCTCTGCAAGGATTAGTTAAGATGCATTTGTATCAACTGATTTAATTCTGTATTTATTTTAAAAGGCCAATCAACTGGCACACCATTAAGACATCTCAAACTGTTCTGTGGGGTAAGGTTTCCCATACCTAGCACTGGGTTTTTTAATTGACAACCCATTGCTTCTGGGACGAGCATAATTCTGAGTAGGGTAATTTCAATTAAACTCAGATATATATACATTTTAAAAAGTAGGTATCCATATGGCTTTTTCAAAAGCGCTAAGAAGCTATGGATGGCTGAAGGCTTCTAACGGAGGGAGAGCCAGTTTAAGGATATAGCCCCTACCAGGTGCCACACACACAGGAGTAGACAGGCAACACAAATCCAACTTGATGGGTTGTTAAAAAAAAAAAAAAAAAAAAAAAGCTGAGCAGTGATGGTGTACACCTTTAATCCTAAGCAGGGGCAGGTGGATCTCTGTAAATTTTGAGGCCAGACTAGTCTACAAAAGGAGATCCAGGACAGCCAAGGCTACACATAGAAACCCTGTCTCTAAAAACAAAAACAAACAAACAAACAAACAAACAAAAATGGCATGGAGTTTTGGAAGGGAGGGAGGTGGGACAATGGAAAAAGTCAGGATGGAATTGTATCAAATTCTCTAGAAATCTTGCAGAATACAGACATCTTGCATTTTGGAAAAATCAGAAAACAAAACAAACCCAGACATTCTTTATTACAGTAAATAACTGAATTTACATTTCTAGTCTTCTAGAATAGCAAAGAGACTCCTTTCCTATCACATTTTAAAACGTCAATTCTTCATGCCATTCTTTGGGGCGTTGGAGGGGACTCTGAGACAGCCTCTATGCAGCTTGCAGCCCACTTCCTCCCCAGCGCTGACTGCAGTGTGCACCACCAGCCTACACAGTGCTGGGCTCTGAACCCAAGGCTTTATACAAACTGGGCAAACATTCCACCCACTAAGCTACATCCCCAGCCCTTCTTCACGATCTTCTAAGGCAGCGGTTCTCAACCTATAGGTCACAGGGTCTCAAGCACCCCTTTCATGGGGGTTGTATATTAAATATTCTCCATAGCAAATATTTGCATTATGATTCATAACTACAGCAAAATTACAGTTATAAAGTAGCAACAAAAAAATGTTATGGTTGGGGTTCACTACAGCATGAGAAAGTGTATTAAAGGTCTCAACAGGAAGGCTGAGAGCCACTGTTCTCAGAGCCCAATAACAGGATAGAAAGTGTGCACAGTGCACACTGGTCCACGAAACAGCTTCAAAACATCTTGCCAGGCACATTCATACACAGGACCCCAGGACTGGGAAGCAGAGTTACGGGCCCATGAAGTTCAAGTCAACTAAGAGTATGTACTGAAACTGGTCGTGGCGCATGCCTTTGATCCCGGCACTCAGGAGGCAGAGGCAGGCAGGAAGTTCTCTGAGTTTGAGAGCAGCCAGGTCTATGGAGTGAGTTCCAGAACAGCCAGGGCTACAGCAAGAAAAAAACCAAAGCCAAAAAAATAAATCAATAGACAAAAAAACTCAATCAATTTTACTTCAAAAAAAGCCTCACATTTTCTCCTACAATTTAGTGTCTCTCTTTTCCAATACCAAATAAATTAGGCCCAAATTGAGGTGAGTGGGGGGCTTTACTGTCAGAAATTATTGTTCAAAAAATATATGAGCCCAACAGTGTTGATTTAGTACCGTTTTACCAATTTCTGCAAACCTACCTCTGTGAGAAGTCAGGCATGGGGCTGCTACTTATCTATCAAATCTACCTTTCAGCTGGGCCTGGTGGAGGCACACACTTGTAATCCCAGCAGAGGCAGAGGCACATGGACCTCTGTGAATTCAAGGCCAGCCTAGTCTACAAAGTAGCCAGGATACACACAGAGAAACACTGTCTCAAAAAAAAAAAAAAAAAAAAACAAACAACAAAAAAGAAAAACCCTACCTTTCAATGGCTTCAACGCTGAGGCAGAACAAGTCCCTCTTGTAATCCAGCTTCTTGGGAGTGCATCTGTACACATAGCCAAGGCTGAGGGAGCAACCGGTGCAAGACAAAGTTTCAAGAACACTGCAACAAAGAAAAGGACCCCACTGAGGAAGAAAGTACGATCCCTATAATAAAATCCACAAGCTGAGGTGGCATGACTGCTTAGCACAGAAAGGTGCTTGCTGCCAAGCCTGAAAACTTGATTTGATCCAGGGACCCACATAATGAAAGGAGAGCTGTCCCCTGACCTCCATAGACAGACACACAGATAAACACACACACACACACACACACACACGATTCAAAGAAATAAAAATTAAGTTAAACCAATAAGTTCCATAAGCCCTTAGGTGCCTATGGTGGACAGGATCTGCTCTGACTACTTTGTGTTGTTGAGACAGGATCTCCTGTGTAGCCCAGCCCCCCTACTCCATCCTCCTCAGCAAGTGCTAGGGTGACAAGAGTGCATCACAACAAGCAGCTTCATTCTGACCATGTGCGCGCACGCGTGTGTGTGTGTGTGTGTGTGTGTGTGTGCGTGTGTGTGTGTGTGTGTGCGTGTGGTAAACAATGGCAAGATGATTGCAGGAGAGATGCAAACACCATCAGCTCTAAGCCACACCACCTTGAACAACAAATGACAAGAAACATACACAAAATGCCAAGGCAGGGTTTTTCTAGAATATAAAGTCCTTGACCTGGTATTAAGACAAACTATTTAAACTCTGGAAAAGCAACAAAAATATCTTTACAACATCCAACCGATTACCCAGGATCATTAACACTGTAGCTAAGAAGGGAGGCAATTTTTTCTGTAATGAAAGAGAAAACAAAGCACTTCAGGCTTCAGGCCACCTGGTGTCTGGTGTGAACACCAACTTCATGCTGCCACACAAAACCAGTCAGACTCACAGAACTGAAAACCTATGTTCCCTTAAACAGTCACTAACACAAGCCCAGCCCAGGCTAGGTATGGTGGCACACACCTTTGATCCCAGCACTCAGGAAGGCAGACACGGGCAGATCTCTGAGTTCAAGGACAGCCTGGTCTACAGAGCGGGTTCCAGGACAGCCAGGACTCCACAAAGAGACCCTGTCTCAAAAGAAAATCAAGAGAAAACAAACAAACCCATGCCCAGCCCACAAACCAGTCTGCAACCCCGCTCTAGTGGTGGACAGCCAGGTTTGTGGGGGACAGGTGGGTCTGCAGACTTTAAAAAAGTCTCCAGAGTTGGGTGATGACACGTGGAAAGACCAGCTGCAACAATTTCCTAGTCAAGACAGCCGCGACTCTGCTAAGAGGCCGCCACAGAGATTGGGCTGTTCTGCTCCCTCACAACATTAACTAGGTTTGTCCAAAGAGCAATGTCCTCCCCTGAGCAGCTCTGCCTCTTTCTGGTTCCCATCTTAAATAGTTAAGCACAGCTTTGAGTTTTTCCTCTTGAGGCAGGGTCTCACGTGTCCCAGGCTATCCTTAAACTTGTGAAAAATCTTGAACTCCTGATCCTTCTGCCTCCAACCTCCCAAGTGCTGGGATTTTGGGTGTGTGTCACTACTCCCAGCCAGTTCACTGTCTTGTTTCCTTGCATTGTTTTTTGACACACACAACTTTACTACCAACTAGAGATACATCCAATACAGGCGAATGGGAGCCTTTTCCCTATGTAACTCTCCTCCAGTCTTCTCGAGCCTGCTCCACACACTTGGATCTCCTTCTGTGCCCACTAACCCTTTAAAATAGTCTTGCAATCCAATGTCTCCCAAAGCCTTTCCAAATTAGTGTATCTAAGTTAGCATTCTGTATGAAAGTTACAGTCCCAACATGTACCAAACTATTACTGGATTTTTAGATCTTGGTTAAATGTACACCACAAAAAATATCATTTCAAAAGTATTTTAACTCCTATTTAATAAGGGACCTGTCACCACTAAGTATCCATCTGTTCTTTCTGTCACGCCAAAGGGATCGCCTAAGAGTCAGCCAATCAGACAGAGAGCATCACTGTCCACCTGCATACTCAGAGATGCTTTTTAATTACTGCAGCAGCATCTGGATCGAAGATCAAAAATGATTTACCACTTGGTAAGATTTCACTAATGATATAATTGGCAAAGTTATCTGCTACTTGTTCTATATTAAATTTCTATGGGTCTTAAGATTTTTCAGAAGAGATAAAAAAATGGGCTGGAGAGATGGCTCAGCAGTTAAGAACACTGGCTGCTCTTCCAGAGGGCCTAGTTCAATTCCCAACACCCACATGGTAGCTCACAACCATCTATAACGGGATCTGGTGTTCTCTTCTGGTGTGCAGGCACATGCACAGGCAGAACACTGTATATATAATAAATAAGTAAATCTAAAAAAAAAAAAAGACTTAAAAAAAGATTAAGTAAAAAATATTGGGGTCGAGGCAGCAGGCACACATGCAGTCCACATTCATACATGCAGCTAAAACATCACACACAAAATAACAAATCTCTTTTTAAAAACAAACATCTTAGTAGATCCTACACAACCAACAGTAAACAGGCAAATTTACATGCTATGTGTGTCAAGATTCAAAACAATCTTGATAACCAAAAATTATCAAGATTGGGTTTGGGGGTTATTTTGTTTTTGAGACAGGGTCACATTGTGTAGCCCCGGCTGTCATAAAACTCTCTCTGTAGACCAGGCTGGCCTCAAACTAAGAGAGATCCGCCTGCGTCTGCCTAAGTGTGGGGGTTAAACGTATGCACCACCACTGCCTGGCCAATTAGCAACCAAGAAAAAAAATAATTACTAAAACCTGCGATTTGAATCCCACTGACAAGTGGGTCATCAGCCACATTAACGTCTAAGAGCTCACCTAAATGCACACACACCCTTGTATCTACATGGGTCTGTCTTCCCAGGCTTGAGAAGAAACTTAAGTGAGACATTTAAGGCTCATGGTCCTCAGAACAGGGGTCTCTTAAAGGTGACTAAGACTGGACAAGTCATCAAGGCAGAACCCCAAATGACTACATCCTGGTGGCTTTCTAAGAAGAGGGAGAGACGGGAAGAGACACACCACCCTCCGGCCCAGTCTTGGGTGGTGTAGTCTTCAAGGCTGTTGTTGTACACAGCCCTTAGACAATGCACCCAGAACCCTGAGCCAAGCTAGACTCCTTCCTCTACCACACAGAGTGGCAGGTACTTCATCACAACCCACACCAATCCAGACCTAGAACAACCTTGAGGGGCAGTAGGAAAGGGTGACCGCTATCACTGGCCTGAATTCAGCCTATCACTGAACAAGACTGAGCAGCAATACCAGAAACCAGAAAGTGACTTTAAACAAGGCACTGGCTCAATCATAAGGTCCCCAGCAAAGAATGAAATCAGAAAAACATGGGAGATAGTACTGCTAGCTCCACCACCCATTTCTGAAGGCCGCCTCCTGTGCCTTAGTTGACTGCTGCAATGGCTCAGCCAGAAGCAGGACATTTCTTTTGAAAAGTTCATAAGCATCCTAAAGCAATACAGTATTTCACAAGGCCCTAGTGTAAACCCAATATGAACGATGGGTGTAGGTGACACAGGTAAAGAGCATCAAGTAACTCCTGCATCACGGGGTGAGAAAGCCAACTCCCGTCTCAAATCTCGTCCAGTTCTGACCACAAAAAAGAACAGTGGCTCAGTTTCATACCACACGGCTGTCAACACAGCTATTGACTGTTCAACACCAAGAGAACAGACCACAGGCTCCAAACCAGACAAGAGTCATCATGACTTCTAATATTTGAGTCACTGTAATATATCTAAAGCTACTTTTAAGCTAATTTAATGAAAACATACTAAGCACAAAACAGTGGACCTGGTACTGACATGACAAACATGGAGATGGTGACATTAAGACTCAAGTTGGGAAGCAAAGAGAAAATAATTCTACAGAGGCAGGAAGGCAAACACCAAGATCCCAGACTGACTGTGATCAGGGCTCTAGCCTCGTGAGGTACCTCAGCCTCATTCCCTTCATCTACAAAATGAGGTATCATCTAAAGCTGGGATTTCCCGGGTGGAGAAATGGCTCAGTGGTTAAGAGCACTGGCTGCTCCTGCAGAAACCAGGTTCACTTCCCATACACACACAGCAACTCAGTGTCTGTAACTCCCTGTTCCAGGGGATCCAATGCCCTCTTTTGACTTCCTGAGAACCAGGCACACACATGGCAAACGTGTACATAGTTGCAAAACATACCCATAAAATAAGAATAAATGTAACAGATAAACAAAGTTGAGATTTCTAACCTGTAACGCCTGCCTACCAGTAGCATAATCTATAACTACACACTATCTTTATCGATATCAATATAATTTTCCTTTGAGTTTCCATACTTTATTAGAACAGGATATTCTGGCATTACTAAAGCTCTAAAGCCATGATCCCTTCTGCTTCTCCGAGTACTACCTAAGTTAGTTTCTACACCTCAGCAAGACACATCTGGGTAGCAATTACAAGAGGCAGGGCTCCCACTCATTTTACCGAGGATGCCACTTGCAGCCAGTAGATGACAAGCGGCTTATATCCCCAGATGGTTTTCTATGCACCCTAGTGGTGTGAGCTCTGTATTTTCTTTCTGTGCTGGGATGTGCAGGCAGCACCGGAACAGGACACCTTTAACTTTAAGATTTTATGACAGATGTTTTCTACATTAACTTTCCATTGTTCTTCAGCATCAAACTCAAAGCCCTAATCAGTGTTAGACACACCTTCAGAAGCGTAGAAACATCCATTTTCCTACCTAAAGGGTTGTCACCATTAAATAATGGACCTTTGCTTCCTTTATGTGCATTCAATTATGAAACGTTCTATTTCAAGCAACCTCACCGAATGGTGGAAGACTTTTCCTTAGAATTAAAATTTTCTGACACACTCACAGACACCTTACTTACCAACCATCTTCATCTTTGTACTTGGACAGTTTCTGTTCCTTGTCCACAGAGACATTAGAGGAGACACCTGGAAAGAGAGCGGCATCACTTTATTGTATGGTTTGTTATAATGCCCTGAAGACGGCATTTAACTCAACTTTAACTTATATTTTAGAACTCAGAGGACTGGGGGGAGGGGTGGACCAAAGACCGGTGGGGGTGGGGGTATGCACATGGTTCAACTCTAGATACAGGGGCCTTCTGGGAAAAGAGGTGAATATGAGTTACTTCATATCCTTCTCTGAAAGCCAGTGGTATTAAGAAATGAACAAAATTACTGGGGAACATCAGTGGTGAAGCTTGGACTGTGAGTATCACAAGGTACAAACTACAAAGAAAAGCTACGAGGTAGAGTGAAATTGGGACAAGACCAAGACTGAGAAAGATGGTTACCACTGTACTTCCACATTCCAACACCCAACCCCTTTTTCTAAAAGTAACTGAGCAGGTCCCCAGCGGGGATCTTGTACTTGGACCACATCACAGCTGAACCAGAGAAACATTCCCAGAGGGAAATGAAGACGCGACATCAGATTTAGTGAGACAGTCAGAGCAATCTCTTGATTTCAGCCCCTTTCACAGTGCCTTAGCTAAGCCCCATGCCCAGAGACTCAGTTGCTCAAAGAAGCAGCTGGGATGTATTCTGTGAACTTACTTTGGTTTTTCTGGCTCTGGAAATCATGCAAGGAGGCCCAGAACCATCAGCACCACCTTCCGCCTGAACATCACTGTGGCTAACCTAGGGTGGTTAGGCTCCCCTCCTTCTTGTTCCAGAAGAGCACACTGTCACTCCTCTGCCTGGCGTTCACGCCTTAGAAGATTCCCTTTCCTTTACCTCAGTCTATAAGTGTCTTCATTCCCTAGCCCCTTTCTAAAGCTTGTCTTTATTCCACACTTTGGCCATACCAGCCTGGGACCCTTTGTGGTAACTGCTGGGTCCTCAGGAAGAGAGGGGTGGGGAGAAGGCAGGACCCAAGTTAGCATTTACATATAAAGATAATAAAATTTCCAGCACCCAAACCTGACATTTCCTTGGGCAATGGAAAGACAAGACACTTGTAATAATTAAATAACTAAAGAATGAGGAAAATGCCAGGCACAGTAGCACTCATCTTTAGTTCTAGAGCTCGGGAGGCAGAAACAGAAGTATCTCTGTGAGTTCAAGGCCAGCCTGGTCTACAAAGCGAGTCCAGGACATCCAGGGTTCTAATACACAGAGAAACCCTGTCTCGAAAAGCAAACAAACAAAAAGAATGGGGAAATTTAAAACTTTTCATTAATTTATTAGTGTTTTGCCTATATGTATGTATGTGCAGCAAGCGCATGTGTGGTGTTTGTGGCATCAGACCCCTGTAACTGGAGTTACCAATATGTGCAAACCGCCATGTCAGTGCTGGGAACTGAACCCTGGTCCTTTGCAAGTGCTCTTGAACACCGAGTCATTTCTCCAGCCCCTATTTTTTTAATATGTTAGTTAAACTACTGGGACTGAGATATTAATTTGTAAACATTATAAAAAACTAAATCACCACGTTGTGGCTATAAATAAAATCTTAGGCTACAAGAGTACACATCTATAATCCCTACTTCTGAGATAAAATCATTAGTTCAAAGTCATCCTGGGAAACTCAGCAAGATCCATCCCAGAAAAAAAAAAGTTTAAAACTGCAAATGTCGTAAACCTCAACAAAGGTAAACAAAACACTTCAACTGGGGCAAGAGAGAATAGAAATTAATCTGAAAATGTTATTTTCTTTTAAACTTTGATACCCTTTTGCACTGTTTAATAGGTGCAACTGGGTGATTCCAGTGAATCACTATGGGAAACTATTGCTCCTGTTTAAAAGACTCAGCAAAAATTAATATGGGATAAATGACCTTTACCTAGTTGGCACAGGTTAAATTGTAAAACCTAACAACAGTATTAGCACATATAGAAAGCAAAATAGAAAACTCTAAAAACGGGGGAGGAACAAAACGAAAGACAACATGTTATTTCTTTTAAAACCATAGTCTGACTCAGTGCTATCTGTCAGACTAAACCTCTATAAGGCGGCTGACTGGATCACGCAGTAAAGAAACCGCCTAATCCTGTGGCCAAAAAGGATACACTAACTCATTTAATCGACCCTGTTATCCCATGTATTATCCCTCGTTTTAGAGAGGAGAAACTGAGGCACAGGCGGTTAAATAGCCTGCCTGAGGACCTTTAGCTAAGTCGGTGGCGGTCCACTATTCCTCCCATTGACTCTGACAGTGCGCATCTGATCTGAAAAATCCTGACACTCCCCTGAAGGAACCACTGAGCTAAAACGCTTGGTCTCTTCTTTCCGAAGGTCACGACGAAGCTCAACCGCGGCCGTTCTGGGCACGGGAGCCCCCAGAAAGAGACCGCCTCTCCTCCCCGCGTGCTGGGTCAGCTCACCCGCCCCTCCCCAACCGGCCCCGCGAAGCCCCAGGCGGGAGGGCGGTGCCCGCGGGCCCCGGCGGAACTGACAGCGCAGCAGGATGCAGTTGGTGTCCTCCTGGCCGGCCACCCAGCTGAGCGAGTCGCCGAGCGGCAGGCGACAGCGCCCGCACAGGAACACGAGCGGGTACTCCCAGGCCTCGGCCTCCTCCTCGCGCCGCTCCCGCTCCGGCTCCGGCTCCGGCTCCCGCTCCGACGCGTCCGCGCTCAGCATGCTCGCCCACTTCTGCAACAGCCGGTGGCGGCTCGAGTCATCCGACAGCCGCTTCCCCAGCAGCGAGGAGTCGCTCCGCTGGCCTCGGTGTTTACAGACACCAGAAGTAGAGCGGCACCCCAGAGAACGAGGAGCCGACATGAAATACGAAGCGGCCGCGCTCCGCAGCCCCACGGGAAAAGCGCGGCTGCGCATGCGCGAGGAGCCGGCGAGGCGGGCACCTCGAGGGGCGGGGCGTAGGGGAGGGCGGGGCGGCACCGACGCGCACGTCCGCGCAGGCGCTGCTGCGCCTGCGTCCGCCCGTCTCTCCGGGCAACGCGAGTTGGTTTGGCGTGTTGGAGGGACTTTTGCGTGTATCTCAGCTCCTTCAGCCGCCCTTGAGGAAGTGCTAGCACGAGTGGATATGCCCGTGCTGGGTAAGCAGAGTCGGCCTTCCGCCTTCACGTAGCCGGAAGTGAAGCGGAGTATTCGGTGCTGTGTAGTGCTAGCCACATCCCTGATTGTACACTGTCTGCTCCAGGGGAGCCGCGTACCTTGATCTTGAAAAAGCAGGGATGGGTGGCGAGCCAAAGACTCCTCCAGCCTTAAGGACCTGGCATCACTCAGGCTAACACTGAAAGGCTAAAAACTGGGAGGCTAGCGGGGCGGCATCACCTGTGGCTAGAAAGAGGGCAGTACACCCTAGCCTCCAGGGCGGGAAGGACAGTCGTCGGATGATCAGCTTTTGACTTCAAAAGACCACAGGCAGGAGGAAGGCCGCCTGAGAGCCGAGGTGCAGCCACCACGAACACCCTGGATGCACAAGTGGGAAACAACACCCAGAGACCACATTTTCCCCCAAAATTCCTGTAGAGGAATTTTAATCCAGTAATAGGGATGCTCCGATCACATCCAACGGCCTTGGTCTGTGTGATCCTGCTGGAATACAGACACGCCCTTAGTACAGACCTTTAATCCCAAACAAGATAAAACTTATAGAAGGAAGCACCCGTGTTTAAAAGTGATGTCTTGGTCCGGCATGGTGGCCCACGCCTTTAGTCCCAGCGTTTGGGAGGCAGAGACAGGCAGATCTCTGCGCGTTCAAGACCAGCCTGGTCTACAAAGTGAGTCCAGGATAGCCAGGGCTCTTCTTACATAGAAAAACCATGTCTCAAAAAAACCAACCAACAAACAAAAGAGTATATGAAAGTGATGTGCAACTGAGAGGCAGAAAAAGTGACAAATCGGGAAAATTTGACAAGATGAGCCAGAGATAGGAGACATTCAACCCTCACCAGAAGAGAGGAAAAAGAGGATTTAGGACAGCAGCATAGGAGAGGGACTTGTGAATGGGCACTGTAGGAACCTGGAAGACAGCAACCACAGGTATATGTCAAAGGAGAGCCAGCCGTATGTCCTTTCTGCCAAAAGCAAGGAAGGCTGGCTTTTCTTTAATCACCGGAAACACTTCTGTGGTCCCAATTGAGTTGGGCTAAGACTATCATTTCTGGATATATGCACTTCCTGAGACCTTACATTAAGGTAACAGAACGAAGAATGCCATAAACCAACAAACTTCAATACACTGGAAGGTGTATCAGGTAGGCAGGTGACAGCAAAGCCATGGGAAGCTCTAGGGATCTGTCTGTACATATGAAAGCATTTACCTAATAGTCTCAAAGATGTAGGGCAGTAAATGACCAGGTAAGGGGGACTAAAGATGACCCAAAGAGCAGAGTGGGAGGAGCTAGGGAGGAGCTAAGAGGGGAAGTGGCATAAGCCTTTGATCACAGCACTCAGGAGACAGAGGCACGCAGATCTCTTGAGTTTGAGACCAGCCTGGTCTACATTGTGAGTTCCTGGACAGCCGAGGCTACACAGAGAAACCCTGTGTGTGTGTGTGGGGGGGGGGAACCAAAGACCAAAACAAACAAAAAAGATAACCCAAAATAATTGGGCTTTGAACTTAACAGCATTCCAACCTCTCCAGCCACTGAAGTTCTGATCCCTCAACCTTTGTAGTCTCTGTTTCTTTACAGGAATTTTCTGAAGGAGTGCCAAGATCCCTGGTGGATGCAGGAAATAGCAGTCATTTGCCAAACACTCTAGAACCCACATTTTGCTGAACTTGGTATGGTGGGAGGGGAAGAGAAGGAAAGGAGAGCCAGGAGAAAGAATAAAGAAAGTGGGAGAAGAAATGAATGGATGAGACTTTGATCATTTTTCTGGAAGAATTGTGGATTCATTTTTATTTACATTTATTTGGGGGGAGGGGAGATACATGAACATATTGGAGGTCAGAAGACAACTTAGAGCCACTTTTCTTCCTAGGGATTGAATTCAGGCCTGCTGCCAAGCACACTTAACCTCTGAGCCATCTCACCAGCCTGAATTACAGATTCTCAAAAGGGCACTGGCAGCTGAGGAAAGTGAGAAATTAATTCGATGCTGATTACATGGCTGATTTTAATTGCATGCACTTCCTAACACTTTGCACACCAGAATGACAATAAGATGTGATTGAAGGTCCCCCAAGGGGGGTGGCTCACTTCCCTAGCAGACAGGTTTGATTGTGGCCATATTCAAAGAGTCCTTCTTAGGGGGTACAACATACTGTGGGATAAGCAGGGGTGTGAGGTGGGGTGATATTTGTGTCAGTGTTGCAGAAGAAACTGAGGAATGGCTTCACCTTAACAGTCTCCAAACGCAGAATGTTTTTTCCATAGTGTTTCTTCTTTCTTCTGTTTAATGAATGGAAACATGATTTCCCAGTCCTCACCTGATCCTTGAAAGTTTAAAAACTTTCATGATCTCATGAAAGTTTAAAAACAAGTAGGGAGAACATGTGGTTTCCAGCAAAACCATAATCTAGTGACACTGAGAAACCTACAGATCTTTATTATTTCATTCTAGAGATGAAAAGATGGAGGTCCATGGGGTTTGAGAGCAGCTTTATGAGAGCCTAGAGTGTTAAATATTGAGCACACCCCCCTTTCTAGGAAAGCTGCTTCCTTTCCTCACAGAAACACCTAGAAAACAAGAGTGCCACTGCCAAGATCTTGGTTACAACTCTAAAAAGAAAGAAAAAATGCTAGCAGTCAATGTCCTGGAGGTGTTTGTTAGTATAAGCACGCCAAAGCATCGACCTTCTTCATAGGACTATTAGTTTTCTCTAATGCCAAAAGGTAAGAGATGTTTAAATTGTTTTTCCACCTTGTTCTTTTTTTTAAAATCAAGACTATTGTCCCACTAATAATTAGAACTCCACTAAACAAAAGTGAAATTTTCTATATCACATATATATATATATATATATATATATATATATATATATATATATGCAGGCTTATTGGCAGCTCTTGGCTGCCATGCAGGGAGAGGGAGAAAGAGAGAGAGAGAAATGTGTGCAGAGAGAGGAGAGAGAGAAGGAAAAGGAGAAGAGGAGGAGAGATAGAGAGAGGAGAGCAGAGGAAAGAGAGCCAGAAGTGAAAAATTCAAAGTTAAGTTATGTTCAGTTGGAAATGAAGGAAGGAGAGCAGAAGGGTGAAAATGTCTTTAACTCCTTGGTTTAAAATACCTACTGTAAGGTTATGGCACAAAATTAAATAAAGACAACAGATCTTATATATAAAAGAGGTTTATTAGGTGTATATGGAGAGAGAGCGAGAAGGGAGAGCAGGACATGATGGGAAAAAGAAGGGGGGGAAGCGAGAGAAAGGAAAACAGAGAAAAGGGGAAAGAGAGAGGGGGGCCCTGATAGAGAAAGGACCAAGAGAGACCACGTGTTGGGTTGTCCCTTTAAGGAACAAGGTAACCACGCCTTCCAGGTGTGGCCATCTGGCCAGGGACACATGATGACATCATAAGTTGCTAGGCAACCCAGAAGCAGGTTTTGTTCCAAAACCCTAACACCTACACTAAGCCAGGCATGGTGGTGCACATCTTTAATCCCACCACTGGGGAGGCAGAGGCTGGTCGATCTCTGTGAGTTCAAGGCTGTGCTACAGAGCAAGTCTAGGACAGCCAGGGCTACACAAAGAAACCCTTCCTCCTACAAACAAGCAAAATGCCTACACAAAAATATAAGCTTCTTCCTTACACTCCACCTTGCCTGCTAAATTCAACTTAATTACTTATAAAAACTTGACAAGTTTTAGGAAAGTCCACAAGTTTCTGAAAACTGTTCCTTGAACCATGAGCCCCAGTCCCTATCCTCAAATATTTTTTTTTTAACTTTTTATTGGTTCTTTGTTAATTTTATGTCATGTACCCCAATCCCACCATCTTTCCATCCCTTGGTACTTGCAACCTCTTCTACAAAAGGAAAAGATAGAAAGAAGGAAAGAGAAAGAGAAGGAAAGAAAAAGAGAGAGAGAAAGACAGGAAGGAAGGAGGAGGGAGGGAGGAGAGAGGGAGGGAGGGAGGAAGGAAGGCTTTAAGTCATACACACAAGTGGCATCATGTCACACTTTAGAGATGGATAGAACTCACGAAAAAGAATTTCCTGGGACTGGGAAAATGGGTCAGTCAAGTGCTTGTCGTACAAGAATGGAATGAAGAACTGAGTTTGAGCCTCATAACACACGTTTTAAAAAACAAAACCACAAAACCTGGTAGCACTAAATGGAAATGGGTTCTGGGGGTTGAACTCAGGTCCTCCTGTTCTCGAGGTAAGCGACACTTCACCAGTGGAGCCATCTCCCCAGCACATGGCTTCACAGGCTTCAAACTCTTCCAAGTCACAAAAAGGCTTTAAAGTTACGTCTCTTACAAAAAAGTTCTCAATGGAGCAAAGAGTTTCCAGCTTCATTAAAACCGAGATATTAATACTGTCAAAATGCCATTCGTTAGTCAAATATACATTTTCTGGGCTTCCTCAGATTTTCCACTAACATCCTGTCTCCTGTTCCAAGATCCAACCCACATAGCCGTGGCACAGGGAGGAGTCTCTCTTCCATCTACACCAGCATTGACCCCTTCCTGGTTTCCCTCGCCTGCCCAGATGAACTCCTCTACAGGATACCAGGAGGTAGCTTGCAGGACACTCTTGATAAAGCCTTTCCTACACTGGGGTCATGCTTTTAACAAGAGGGCTCCAGGGGTGATGTGTCCCTCAGGGCATGTGTTAAGTAACAAACGCTGACATCACTGCTTGTTTGTGATTTGAGATGTAGCACCCGGAGGCTTCCTGTGATTGTTTTCCTCTGTGTAATATTGTTTTATATTGTTATTAAATCAGTAATTAACAACTTGAAGATTCTTTTTAAACCTTGCAAATACTGTTTCTCCTTAGACTTTCACCTACCAACCTGACATCCATCTTTACGTGCCCAACAATGTCTTGCCATCCAATAGTTGTACTGTATTGTGGGGGTGGCGGATTTTCTACTTCTTCCCATCCTGTAATTGCGTTAGGAGGAGCCACCCTGGTTAACTTGTTCCTTTAGTCAATCAGTTAGCACATGGACTCACCTATAGCTATTTTTCTATGGCATCCTCTCTAATACCACCACTACAGATTTCCATACTTTTTATTTTTAGACGTTTTCACATTCTTACATTTTTATGTTTCCTATTTATTCTAATAATGGTTGCTTTAGGGGCATGTCTGCTAATTCCAGTGTCTGGCTCATCTCAGCATCGGCTTTACCTGACATCAGCTTCTCTAGACGGAATGCCTTGCTCTCTCTGAGTCTCTCTGTAGGTAAAGTGGTTGTTCTGTTGTAGTAGATGGCTAGCTTTAAATTCCAACTTGGCATAACGTCGAGTCACCTAAGACAGAGCCTGACTGAGGGGTCCTTAGGACCCACTGTGGGTGAACCTGTGGGCGTTGTTTGGTTGCCTTCCCTGAAGGAGGGTAGAAGACCCACTCTGAGTAGGCCACACAGTCTCACAGGCCGGGCCCTGAGCATGAGAGTGAAAGCAAGCCAGCTGAGCAAAATCAGGCAGGCTAACTCAGAGGCGGCTGCTCTGAGCTCTGCAGCCTTGGCTACCCTCAGTGACCACAAACCTTTGCTCTGGTCATGGTGCTTATCACAGCATCACAATTAAACTAGGACATCACCACTGCAGGTGACATGGAGAGAGTCTGCTGTCGTCCTCTGAACTGCTGGGTGTTGGTCTCCCTTTTGTTTCTGCAGCTTTTTGTCCCTCTCTAGTGCCTCTGAATACTTGCTTTATTATATCTTATCCATATTTTGCAGTTATTACCTGGACACCCACTAGTGGGATATGAGCTACTCCACAACTTTATATATATGCTTATCTATCTATCTATCTATCTATCTATCTATCTATCTATCTATCTAT